TCTCCACACCCAAAGTCATCATCTGATTCCCAAATTCCCATTGCGAACTTATTCTTTAAGATTGAGTCATTTACTCTTAGGGAGTCAATTCACGTGGGGACCCAGGGACTACAGTCATTTATTCCTGATTTATTTATCTCTGTTCTTAACTTTGAAGCGCTGGTATTACATAGTTGCTCTAAAGACATGTAGGAAAAAGAATTAAGGAATTAAGGCAGAACTGGAGCTCAGGACCACGCAAGTCGAGCTTTTAGCCACTTGGCAATTTGTACCGTTCAGTGAAAGGACTGAAAAACGGCCGCACAAAGTACAAAGTTCCTTGCATATTTGTTGACTTATTGGGGTCATAAGTGTACATCGATCACTTATGGACCATAGTAGTCCATCACTACAAAGGCCAGCCAAATTCGTCGTAATCGCGAGATGATCAGACAGAAATCAAGGGTGAGAAATGTTCCGGCAAGAATGGTCATCGTTTTGTGAGACTCAGAACTCTTACTCTTACACTGTTCAATTAGACCACTCGTAAAAAAGAACATGAACAAACACTCAAGCTTCTTTCAAGAGATAAATACGGGGCATTACCTTGTTGTACCTACTCAGGAGCACGTAGCTATCGAAACATCAGCGAAGCTCCCGAACCACTCGAGGTCTCACTACTTAAGTCCCCCACAGGGATCTCGGCAACGCGAGATTCTTCAAGCAAGAATCACTCAAATTGATGGGTTTTGATTTTCGTCTTTGATTCTTACTAGAAGATGTAGGTTAGTCGATTGCAGTAGGTTTCCAACGGCCGCACTGACATAAGAAAGCTCGAAAACACGATTCAATAAATTCGATTACCACTACTTGGACGGAATGATTGCTTAGAGAGCACAACACCATAGATGTCGACAACTGAATTCTTTAAACCTTTTTAACCCTCGAAAAAGGATCACACCAGGTGTATCCCATGTAGCAGGTCGTTGGAAGAACTGAAGGAAGAGATACAAGTTTCCGAAAGGCGACGAATTGAGAAAAAAAGAAGCAGACCAATACTTCATCGAAAGAAAACTTCGATTATCTGGAAAAAGCGCTTATTCCCATTTTCAATTCTTTTATTCCAAACTTCTCACTTTGGCTCAGTCACAAACTTTTGGCTCATTTGCTCTCCACAAACTATTAAATAATCCTACTATATATAATTCGCTAAGTG